TAAATCCCTAGCTAAAGGAATGAACCTACTAGCTACCTGCAGGGATCTACTGCAGAAAACGTACCTAGACAGCCACAGAGTTAAGAAAGCAATGTGCTCTGTGTCAGACACATTATCCCCTTCAGCATGATAATGGCCGATAAATTTGGAGAAGCTGGCTAACTTGACTTCGAAGTCAATTATGCTTGAGTGCTCTTCATTGTCAGGAACATAAGTTTCCCCCACTGGCGACAGCCCAGTAATGGCTGCTATATCGAAGAAGGTTGGGGTAATCATTCCACCTGGAAGATGGAAAGTGTTGTAGGTACTATCCCAGAAGTAGAGGGACGCGAATAGCAGAGGATGACTATAGGTGAATCCAGGTTTCGACAGCTTAATAAGGTTATAAATGCCTAGTTCTTCCCATTGCTGGGATTTTTTGGCTTCTACTTTCGTAAACCAGTTTTGATAAGCAACATCAGCAGTAGGGCAAGATCGGAATGGTTTAAAATTGCTTTTTACATAATCCAAGATAAATGGGTCCTTGGGATGAACAGTTGAGGTTTCTGTGGTTTTCGGATTAAGAAATTCTACTGCCCTAGGGGCATCCATTTTGTTGAATAAAGGTTTGAAGTTGTAACACACGGGAAAAATGGTCCTGGTGTCCTTTAGTATTTCAAAAACTGTAAGAGGGCCATTTAAGGCTAACCTCTTACCAGCAACATGGGTAGGGATGAGTACCTGTGATGCGTACAACATTTCTTTTTCTTTGGAGATCATTTGAGGAGCAAGAGCAGATTGGCCTTGAATGGTGACGATTTTACTCTCCATAGTTGCTCCTGTAGTTTTTCCCTTCTTCTTGGAAGTTTTCTTGAGTTGAGATGATGTGGAAGAAGACATTTTTTGTTGTTTGAGAGCTTAGAGTGTTTATGAGAGAAGAAGAGTAAAATTCCAGAGTTTGAAAGGTTTAGAGTGTAAAGAAGGAAAAAGGAAGGTTAAATTGACGTTTTATAATAAGAAGATGAAACATCCACCGAGTGAAAGTATGATACGTGGAGATCATGGATTGGTGTGATGAAGAGGTGGCGAGAAGTTGATATAGGTAATAGGCGTGATTTTAAAAACAATCATTACTTATAACTGCACCATGCTGTGAAGTGACTCTGGGCGGTTAAGGTACCCAAAGGGTGCTATGATTGATGTGACTAGGGTCAAACGCATTAAATGCTATGATGATTCGAAGATCCTATCAAAATCTTGTATAAATGTTTAAAATAGGTATTTCTCAGAGAGATCGAAATACATATTTTAAAGGGGCAATTTGTTGGCTGAAGATTTTGATAATGTTATTTAGAATTCAAAAAGAGCTAGAAGTTCTGATCGAAATGAAATTAAAACACCACGCTTCGAAATTGCAGAAGCAGTGTTTCGAATGAGTATGTCAAAGCTTGAAGCTTCGAACGGTGATCTTGGGAGCATATCCAAAGGGGTCTCGAAACAGCAGCGAAGCTAAGTCTGAGAAGAGCGTTCGAAGCAGAGAAACACCAAAGCATTTGAAATTTAAATGAAAGCGGGACTTTCAAAGTTTGAAAGTTATGTGTTGGAGCATTTGAGGACACGTGGAAAGATGAAAGGAGCATTGTCTTGCATGTTCGAAACGTGGCATGATCTTGTAGCGAGACCGTTAGGGTCGAATTAGTATAAATAGAAGTCTTAGTGTTAGGATTTCAGTGTGTCATATCTGTTATACAAAATACTCAATAACATTCAAACTACCACATGGCAAGGGAAACGAATGCAAGAGAGATGTATGTATGATAGCACCATGTATTTCTAATTTAATAAAAGCCCTTTTTACTATTTCCAGCACTTTCCTTCTTTTTCTTTCTGTCGAATAACATTTACAAGTTTCTTTATCTACTGTCTTTTCATTTCAAAGTCTTTTCTTCAAAGTTTTACATTTTATTGCATTCTTTATATTTCGAAGTACTTCATATTTCAGAGAACTTTTACGCTTTCAATGTCTTTACTTTCAAGTATTATTCTTCAAACATTTACTTTCACTTAAAGTCATTTCTAGATTTCTTGCATTAAACGCTTTCTTCACATTTTAAACTTCCACATTCCAGAAACCTTTTGTGTTAAATGTTTTATGGATCGAAACCAGTTACTTCATTTTCCATACAGTTTCATATGTCTTTTCAATCAGCATTACAATTAGCAATCATTCGTATAACTTAGTTTCACATACATTTTGACCACATTCTTAAACTCTTAGAGAGAGGGATCGAAACAAACCAAACATTTATACAATAGAACCCATGAATAATTGTTCGATTGTGAGAGTAACCTTGATATCCAAGGAGTCCTAGGATCAATCTAGTCGATCCTGTGAGTTACCAAAGAGATTGAGTAGCGTTAATAAAGATTATTCGATAGTTTGGAAGACTAGCGGTTGTTTACCAGAAATCACTGGAAACAAGCGGTCAATGAATTCTCTCAAGGTCTCATCGTGTTTCTGAACGATGGCCTCGAGCGCTGCTTCGGTCTTCGGGTATCGTCGCGAAGCAGTGAACGAGCTGATGAACTGGTTTTTCAGGTTTCGCCAAGAGGTAATTGACCCCGGAGCGAGACCTTTGTACCAGCCCATAGCCGCTTTCCTCAGAGTCGTGGGGAACAACCGGCACTTGATTGGTCCCCCGACATTGTAGTAGTGGAGCATGGCTTCGAACCTGTCTATATGGTCGACCGGGTCGGCGATACCTTCGTACTCCTTTAAGTGGGGAGGCTTCTCCATGCCAGAGAGAATGGGCGCCTCAATGATAGCTTGTGACAAGGGACCGCGGGGGTCGTCCTCGTCACTCAGTTCGGGAGAGCGGAATGGAGATCCGATGTAGTGGCGATCACGGTGGCCCTGGCTGCGTTGAGCGTTCCTTGGACGGTATGACCGTTGATGGTTTCCCCTGTGTCTGTCACCGGGGGGTCTTCGTTCTTGTAGCGAGGGGCCATAGACGCGCCTTCGTGCGTCGACGAGCGGTTCCCTCTCCAAAGGGGGTCGTCGCCCGAGTGGTCGGGGTGACGAACTTCTAGAGATGTCCCGATTCTGTCTCCGTGAGGGAGATTGGGGACGTTCATCTGCTTGTTGATGGGGAGGAGATTGAGGTCTCTTGTGTCTTCTCGGGAGCCTTCGATCGTCTTCGAGCGCTCTCAGTCTTTCCTCCTAGGCGAAGATGTGATAGTTGGTTTGGTTGATCGCTGCGAACAGTGTTTTGGTCGTGGCGTCTACCCCGACGGGGACGGGGACCTCGTGAAATTGGACGAGTGGATAGTTCAGGGGAGGTGGTCAATCTTCTTCAAGTCGAGGAGGAATTAATGAAGAAGTCGTGGCTCCGTCCCTGTAGTTAGAAGGTCCGGGCATGTTGACGTCAGGGACCGTGTTATGGTCGGCGGTATCGGCGTTGTCGAGATCGGCATTATTGTCGATGATGTTGTTGTTAACGTCGATAACACGAACGTTCTGGTTGTCCTGAGTCTGGTCAGCCATGACAGTCGAGGATGGTTTAGCTTTGATCTTAAATGAAGAGAAGACGGGGAAGCTTAGATTCCCACTGACAGCACCACCTGATCTCACCTGATCAGAGTTGGACTGTCACAGTTGACTTCGGGCAGAGCTTGAATGAGATGAGGGGTACCTGCAAGACACTCCGATGGTAAAGTGAGAAGCGAAATGAGCAAGCATGTATGAGTTTAGGTATGAATGAATGAATATTTGATCCTCTCATGAGAGAAGGTATTTATAGCCTCCAGCGCTGGGTCAAAGTCCCCACTATTGGACCACGCAGAGGCCCAATAACGGGAACTGCCAGGATTTACGTGAGTATGGAGTCCAGCAAGTGGACTCCCTCCTGGTTAACTGCTCCGCGAGAATAGGACTAGACACAAGATTCCCGGAGGACAGTTTGATATGTTTGTTGAGAAGTGGTGGGCCACGTCTCCCAACGATTAGATGGGGAGGTGCCCCACAATCCTTAACTAGGGTTGTCTTTGGACCTTTCGGTTGTAGGACAAATGTAGGCCCAGTCCAGATCAAATAATATTATATTATAAAATGTAAATTAATCTTTTATATTAAAGAGAGTGAGATTAAGAGAAAGGAGAGGACTGGTGAGAAAAAGATATGGAGAAGATACAAGTCCGAAAAAGAGATGGAGGAGATCCAAGTCCTTCCTCGTATCAACTTGAAGGCAGCTAACACAGAACTCGTGTTCAGATGGACTGCAATTTGGAAGAGTCGTATTGTTTGATGACACAAATTTAACATCAAAATACACAATTCAAATATTTTAGATATCCTTAATCACAATTTTTATTCATATCTATATGAAAGAATTCAGTCTTGTCAATTCATTAACCACAGTTCGTTTATTAAATTTTTCGAAATGAACCATACCACTAAGCATATATAATAATAGTGCTTATATATAGATGAATTCAGTCTTGTAAAAAAATCTATATGATCTCAGTCCATTGAATGAATAGCTTACAATACAAAGCTACACTGTAATCAGATCCTTTGCTGAGAAATATAAAATCTAACATATGATAATTTGATCGACTATAGACAGAGACACCAAAACTTAGAATAACTCACCAATAGCCACGAAACTATAGCTACTCTCAACTCCTGACAATAGCATGACCAATTTCAGCTTCCTTGAACCAAATCACATGGGAATTTTTTCTCTTCAATCTGTACTCAAGTTTCCTCTTGCTTACAGTTCGGGCATTTATTTTACAGCCTCTTTCAAACCAAATGATGTTAACCATGGCAGTCAACATTAATAATCCTCGTCACCAGTTCATATGTATCCACTTGCTAGGCATATGATTCAAATGTTTCTCTAATTACAGTAGTGCCATCAATGAGCGACGGAGAGTTGAAAATTTGATATTAGACGTCACAGTGTGATAAGAAGACTTTGCAAAAGAGCAACTGAGGGTGCTTTTCAATCATTGGATTATCATGAATCTGACCTTGGAGCTGTAAAAGATGAAAGAAGACCAGCTGCCTGCGCAGGTAGAATATCTCCAAATGTGGACATAGCCGCTGCAGACCTATCCTTAAAAATACCAACTTGCCCGTCTGTTAGCATTGATCCCAGTTTAAAAGTACTCTCCCCAAACCTGCTTCCAACCTAGTAAAAAGAAACAGATTGTATCAAGTCTCTACAAAACCATGTCAATTACATCTAATCAGATTTAATATATGCAAGAATGGTGAAATATCAGTATGCAAATGCATTTAGGAACCAATAATTCAGTCAATTTTATAAACATCACTTGTGTAACAGGTGAGGTGGTATTGCTTAGGGGTCCCAGCTAAAATTGCAAACAGTGCATAGTGACACTGGTTTCTCTCTAATCACTTTTCCATTTAAGCTCAAATCAGTCAGGTTACTTGTATGCTACTGCCCTTCATATGGGACAGCACCAATATTTTACAGCCTTTGAAGAGGTATAGGGAAGAACAGAGGAATAGCAAGGTTGCATCAAATACTTTTCTCTATATCAATGCTATAGAATGGCAAGGTTGCATCAAAAACTTTTTTCTATATCAATGCTATATCGAGTGGGGTTAACCAAAATTCCATGACTGTGAACACAACAGGCAGTTCAGTATAGCTGCAAGCCAAAAATTCATATGGCATTTTATAGAAGGCTTTCTGTGATCTTATTTTTTTTATGTTGTTCTTATCTCTACATCAGATTCATTTTGGAACTAAATAATATTACCGCAAATAGGTGTTGATTGGGCGGTGTTACTGATGTACATCTGAATTGATACACCTTTTCTAGGCTAGAGCAGTGCACAATACAAGTAATCGGAGATTATTTTGTGCTATCAAATAATTTGAAAGACGTAGTATTAATTATGTTGAATATTGCAACACTACACTCCATATAAAATAACTGAGGCCTTTTTCATATCATGAGCTATTTGTAACCATATATTTATTTGGCTAACAGATTAAGATTTCGTAAAACAGTTGCTCCACCGTGTGTACAAAATATAAAACCAACATGAGACAAGAAAGAATTGTCCATATTAGTATGGCTGCACAAATCAACACACTTTTTGTGGTGCCATGAATATGATGATAAGTAAATTATGAGGTTGCAAGAGTATCAATATATTGTGGTTTTTTATTCAAAGAATATTAGTGTCCAGCATTAGATTGCAATGATGCAAAAAAGAGTACCAGAATTTGATAGAAACTTACTTGCATGAAAGACTTCAAAAATGGTGCTGCCACCCCAAGACTTGAGCTGTCATCCAAATTTATCTTTTGAGAAAGCTCTCCATTTGTAATTGAATTCCATGAACTTCTTGAAGAGATTTCATTTGAAGATGGGGTGAATGATTTCTTTGGCCCTCTAGAGGACATAGCTGGAGCACTGGATTTACCAAAATTAAGATGTAAGTTTGTAAATAGGAAAAGACATTTAATTACTAGTTTTGGTACATTAACAGGTTTCTTAACAGAACTCTCATAAAACTAGTCATTAAATAACTCAATTGATGAGTTTCTCGTCTCATTAAATTAGGAATGATACACTATAAAGTATATATACATATGCTGTAGAAAAAACGAACCCTGTCTATGGAAACTATATTATATCAAATGATAAAAAGATGGAAACAATAAAGAAAAACATAGAAAGCCTCATACAGTCAACAGAATAAATAATTGGATTGAGAATAAAATATACATAGAAGGATGGTAAGAAAGGCAGGCAAAAAGTTTTGCATTATAGAAAGATGGACAAAGAAAAAAATAAACTACAAGATCAAACTGACCTGATGGGGAGGTACTTAAACCGGGGAACTGTAGAACACCTCAGAGTATTAGATTCTGAATTAGTAGGCAGTTTCTGAACAGTATCTGTGTACATTCGATTAAGTTGCACAAAGAAACCAAAAAGAACAGCATGCCGTAGATATGACTGCTTCTCATTCTCCCAAAGATAAGGTTCATACCTTTACACATATAGATAAGAAATCATTGTCAGATTAAAAGAGGAAGACTTGATATGACAGCACAGAACCACTAAAAGGAAAAACTATCGCCCAACACTATTTGAAAATTGCCCAAGAAACAGACCCTACAGTCTACAATCAGTCTTTTTTCTTCATTTTGCCTAATTTAGTTATTATTCTTTAGGCCACCGTGAATTGAGCTCCAGATGGTCCTTCTGATGTACCGTCATAGCTAAATAAACAAAGAAAGAAAAACCAACAGAATAAATTAGAAGCTTACGTAAGCCAGTCTATAGGATCCAGTCTTTGAGAAAGCCGGTTTAACAACTGATTCGACCGTTCTCTAATGGCTGAGATTGTCAAATTTTGGCCCTGCTTTCTTCTGAGAGATGGCTTTGCCTTTGGGTTACTTGATAATTCCCCAACCGAATTAGAATCACCACCAGAGAGAACATCAATGACAAATTTGACATCTAACAAAAGCTGCAAGACTCCTTTTTCTGTCACTTGATGAGCATCACCCACTTCAGTGGAAAGGAAGGCCTCAAAGATTCCAACCACCTGCATGATAAAATACAATCATTGTATATACAGATGTACAAGAAGTCAAGCAAATAGACATTTACTTGATAATCGCGCGTTTGCTGCATAGAGGGCCTCATTGAAACTGAATCTTTTTAATTTTTCAATTATCTTTGGCCACTTACTCATAATTCATTCTAGGGCTTCAATAGCTCATTTACGTTGATCTTAATAAGGGGGAACAGTATGGCCTTGAGAACATTATGAGTATCTCCATTACTCTGAAATCTCAGCGTCACGGGTTACAATTCCAGAGTAGTTATAAAATTTGACAATGGATGAGTTAATCCAATATTATCAACTAGATTTTCTACCAGGAATTGATCAAAGATTAAAAACTATTTCTATTCTATATATTCTTAACTTGGGGATCAAATATCATATCAATTTAATGGAACAAACATGACTGTAAAACCACCTGAAGGTAAGATAACAACAGTAGGGTGTAACAGAAAGAAAATTTGTAGTGATTATGCAGTCATTGCTGCATTCTTAGTTCACTTCTCATTATTGTGTTTTGTTGTATTCTATTAATTTTACAATATAATCCCCTCCATCAATTACTCTGTTTCTTTCTTCAATGATAATTCATTTTCTAGAAAATAACTGTAACCAAAAGGATAGGCTGGGGATAAAACACAGCCACACTGGTGGACTTGAAGATCAAATGGACTAACACATCCGCAGAAAATCTACCTTTTCCAATAATCTTGATGCAAGTTTATGCAAAATCTTCTTGTCAAGTACGTGACCTCCAACTCGGTGAACTTCTTCACACGCTCTAAATAGAAATGAGATTATATATAGAGAAGGCATAGATGGAAGAGATATTTTCATTTCCAATTGGTTCTCATCTGACTGATCTTGCTTGACTGCAATATTCTCCCATCCCTGTTCAGTAAGCAAAAACGTGAGAAACTTCTATATTAAAAAGGCTATAAGATCTTGGTTTTTAATATCACCGCCAGAGTTGTCAATAAATGAATAGTAGTAGTGGCAAACACATTAGCAACAGTGTTGTTAATAGCGGATCGCGGAAAATATCGGATCACCAAAAAACCGATACGAAAAATATCGGATATCGTGGCGGGCAAATAGCGGAAACCGCAAAGTGGTTAAAATAAATAATTGTATATAAAATAAAACATGCCACGCATATAAAAGCTACTAACATAAACAAATATTAAAAAAGTTTACTAACATTAAACTGAAAAGTTCTAACAACCAAGTAGTTCAAACTTCAAAATCAAAATGACTTAAAACACAAAATTAAATAGTTCAAACTTCAAAATAAGTAATAACTAATAGTTCTTCTAAGCATAACTAGTGATAAAGATCTAATTATTCTCCATTTCTCCAACATAATTATTATCCTCATTTTCAGAATGTGAAGAATGAATAAAGTGAAGAGAAAGTTAGGGTGATGGAGGCACTCTGACTCCTATAAATAACCACACCAACTCATTAATATTACACCTCTTCACATTCACTTTCTTCTATTTTCCGAAACTAGCAATCAGAATATGTTAATAATACCCACACACCTCTTCACATTTCTACTTTATTTCACTTTCGACTTTTACTTTATTATTGTGCACCTCATCACAGCCTACTATTTATTACTGTGCACCTCTTCACAGTCTACTTTTTTATTCCACTTCTTCACATTCTATATTTTAAATATTTTTAATATTGTAAAAATGATCATAATCATAATATATTAATTCTGATATCAAATTCAAAACCGGTATACCGGTATACGGGAAAACGACCGATATGTTGAGCGTAACGAAATTGAAACGGAATATCGTCTTTCGTATCGGATAGCCAGATTCCGATATGAAATACCGGTATATCGGCGATATAACCGATATTTAACAACACTGATTAGCAATGATAATATCATTACACTTTGATGGCACCTACTACCCCTTCAAAAGGTAAACAAAATATCTACTTCAAAGTAACAAACAAGTTCTTAGAAGATAACGGTTCTCCAAAAATTAAAGGTCGATTATAGGAAAACTAATAATGAGATATAATCATAAGAAAAATTCATGGAAGAATGAATAAAACGACAGGGAAAACGAAACTTACCCTCCCAGGCGTGTTCAAAGTTGAGGCATCATCTTGTTTAAGATCCTGAGAGACAATAGCAGCAAGCTCATCTGACATCCATAGTATCCACAAGTTGTAGGCTCTTATGCAAAGATCCCCTATAGTCTTATTCAGTTCTTCTAACTCAGGGCTTGCACCTTCTCTTGCTCCAAATAAGGCAGCTGTGGCAGAAGAATTTTGCCTTTTAGAGCCAAGGCTTGTTTGTTTTCCTGGACTATCACAGATAGCAGGATCAGATACAAAACGAGAATGTTTCACCAGAGATGGTAATTTCCCAACTGAAGATGCATTCCCACTGGCCCAAAATCTGGGAGAACCAAGTATCAAGGGTATATGTTTAGAATGGTTTTGGAATGCAAACAATAACCTCCCAATGAAAAGGGATTTTTCAACAGTAACAGTTGTTGGTACCTCCTTGTCACCACTTTCCATTGAGCTGTATAAACTGTCAAGTTCTTTTTGCAATGCCATCAATATAGAAGACACACTTTCATAACATTTACTTTGCAGATATGGTGCTAGATCCTTTAATCTTTGGGAGGCCTTTGGAGATTCTAAGAAACTTAATAGATCCTCAAGGATGCTCTGACATGAAATGTCAACTGCGTCCCTGATTCGGCTTACTTCAGGACCAAAATAGGCATTAAGACAAGACAGAAATTCGTTCTCTTCAGGGTGGACTTTGAACCCAGAAGCAACTCCAGTTTTTTTGGCATTGGATTCTAGAAACCAAACACCACCTGCTGTATAAGGTCTGGTCAAGTACAGCTGACCATCAATCTGTTTGGTGAAAGAGTTAACTACTGCAGAAATTGTGTTCACCACATCAACAGTGTCAGTTAGCTCTCTAAATCTCAAGTCAATGATTGCTTTCATCCTACCAAGAAAAGCGTCCTCGAATATCTCATCCCAAAGATCAGAATCATCTTCCAAAACGAGTTCCCGAATCCTACTCCAAGGCAACTCAATCTCAGATCCAAAAACACTTTTCAGCCATTCCAAACTCCCCTGTAGAACTTGTTTACTTTCCATTGTCTCCCTTATTGATTTCTCAGCAGAGGCAAGCTCCTGGCCACTGGCAATGGCATCAATTAAATTTCTTCCACTTATCTTATTTACACATTCCTTCAACCAAGCAAAACAAGTATCAGCAATGTAACGCTTGTCAAGCATTACCATAACCGATTCCAACTTATCTCTAAATGACTTCCAAAGCTTAACTTCCTCATCAGGATTTGGAATCCCGCCAAACAATTGCGAAGCAGGGGGAGATCCTAGAATGACTTTGTAGAAAAGGGGCATATCATTCAACACTTGCAGAAACAACTCACCCACCTGACCCACGCTGACCTGAATTATTCCCAACACATCACACAAGACAGAAACCACCAAAGAGGAATCATCACCGGCACCAGCATTACCCAAAATTTGTGATATCCACGATTTCCTTGATTCTAGAAACAAATCCAACACCTGTTTTTCATCAACAAATCAGTTTATACCCACCAAACAAAAGAGAATTAAGAAACTGCCCACATCGAAAATCACACAATCTAAAAACTAAGAAAATTGCCAAACGCCACACCATCTCCAACCAAAATAACTCCACAACTATACATGTTTTCATCAACAAATCAGTTTATACCCACCAATCGAAGAAGAATTAAGCAACTTCCTGCATCAAAAAACACACTATCTAAAAACAAAGAAAACTGCCAAATGAAATAACACACCATCTCCAACCAAATTCTCAATCCAACCCCAAAATAACTCCACAACTATACCTGTTTTCCATCAACAAATCGGACTAAGGAGTACACCTATCAAACTAAAAATAAAAAAAAAAACCTATGCACCTAACAAACTAAACAGGCCTCAAACCCAGTGTTGTCAATCGAAGATCAGAGGGAATAGTGTATTTGACAACACTTCGCACTAAATGGCATACCGCGGAATAATGTCAATCTGTTTCAATTCCCATTTGATAAAGCAAGTGACAACATTGCTCTAATCACATAAGTTCTAAAGAACTAAACACACTCTGACGCCCCATTCCCAACCCAAAATCCCAATTAAGACTGATAAAAAAAATAGCAAAATTACCTTCTCCGGCTGAAACTCGTCAATAACAGCTACAGCAGCAAGGGCATCAGCATATGCATCAATGGGGAGACCTCGATCCAGCAAACGGTCACGGCTACGCTGCGAGATCTGAGCTCTAAAACTCTCAACGATCTGCCACTGATGCTGAAGAAGAGGAAAATTGGACAACATCTTGATCTTATGCTCATCGGAATCAAGAAACAACCGCTGATGCACGTGCTTCGCACGGGAGTATCGCGAAGCAGCCTCAAGGAACATACCTTCATCAAGGCAGCCCCATATATTCTCCGGCGTATCAACAAGATACTTCACACGGCAAGCAATACCGTATGTCCAGGCTCGGGACTGCGAATGGAGCTTGGTTTGCGATTGCGATTGCGATTGAGAAAGCGAACGGATGTGATCGTGAACCGCGGTGATGTTAGCGGAAATCGCATTGCACGAAGATTTCATGTTGACGATAGAGTCGGCGGAGTCTATGAGGTCACGGTAACGGTTACCGACGAGTTGACGGAGCTCCTCTTTCTTGTCGTCGATCTGCTTACGAGTGGCGGATTCGGTGTTCCGGATCTCGGCAATGGGCTTAGAGCGGAAGAGAGACTCGGCATCGCGGTAGCCGGTAGTGGAAATGCGGTGGTCATCGACATGAGGCGACGGCGCCGGAGGGGTTGAGACTCTCATGGTTGTGGCGGTGAATGATCGAAATGTCAATCAAGTTTATTTAGCAAATGGAGACAGATGATTATTTTTTAATCAAATTTTATTTTGTGAGATTTAATTCGATGTAGACTAGTTCTGATCCGCTCCAGTTAGTAATGCCTCCAGTTTTCCAGTTTATTTTACCGATGCATGACACGTAACATTAAAAAATGGACGGTTCAGATATAAGAATCTCAAATTAAAGAATCGGCGTGTGGGATTTCGTTTTCTTCTCCAATTTTTTTAACCTACTGCCATAACGCAATATCTTCTTTCTTGGTCAACAATTCAAAGAAGTTGCACATTTGCTTTTATTGTTCTCAAAACACGGAGCATAATTGTTAGAGCTTATGCACTTATGCCCAAAGCATGAAGCATGAAAGTGCAGAGACTTGTGTTCTTAAGCAGGCATAGTTTAAAAAAACAAAAAACTATCATTAAAGTCTAGAGATTCAAGAAAATCAATACTGCACTCTCACGTATATCAATACAAAATGACATATCAACAAGGAGGATATCAGTTACATGGATCTTTATCTTTCCATTTTGGCAATCTCTCTTTTCTGATCAAACTCAACCTTCGTAGCAACAATTTTATTGGAGAAATACTATAGGAGTTGGCTCAATTGAAATATTTGAGACAGCATACAACAGACTTCGTGTCAAAAAGAAATATTATTCAACAAGACGGAAATTGTGAGGCATGGAGTGTTTTGTTTCTTTTATCATCTCTGCACACTTCAATGTCAATGTTCTGTTCGTTGAAATGTCTCAACTAAAATAAAATCACTCAACATTTTCATTTGGTGCAAACCCTACACATAGTTATGTGTTCAACATTTTTCAATTCTGGATTTTCAATATCTTTCCACTCAGAGTGGATTGTATTAACAATTGATTTAAAAAAATTATAAATTGGTTTTTAAAAGCAACCTTTTAGAAGTTAGTCTTTATGGTTCAATGAAGTAAAGTAAGACAACAAGAAAACCATGGCTAAATGCTCTTCCGTTGTTTCCCGCCATATGTTTGATAAAATTTCCCAACTAGACATCTTTTGTATTGAGTAGAGGAGAAGATAATTTTGCATTGTCTAATGATTTCTACTCAAATAAGAGGTTTGTTTACATTATCCATTTTGAGGATTTCATTGTTGTCCCGATGGTAGAGATGAAAGCAAAGGTATTTCTCGTTTGGTATCTCATCTTAAGATGTTACACATATGTAGTGATGAATGGAAAAATGTCATATGGAATACAATTGGGAATGATTGTGATTTATTTACGGCATTGGAAGAGTTTTTTAGGGTGGTTAAGCAATAGTTATGTGAAAGGTGTATGAACATTCATGTCATGAGTCGGGCATGTCATCATCCTCGTGATCTTGTTCGTTTCACTCATGGGACAGAAGGGATCGAAAGTCACATTGTGGATATTGTTAAATCATCCACAACTAACTCAGATAACCTCAAAGCAACGATGAGCTTGTTTTGGATGCAAGGTTGTTAGAGAGAGTTCTTATCGCATCTATATTCACTGTGAAGAGTATACCTCTAAGTTGTTGTCTTGCTTTCTCTCAAACATTGAAAGATGTTCTTTACAAGATGGTGGATGATCCAGGATCAGTAGGTGCATGGATTTGTTTGTTACTTCTCTCGTGTTGTACATTACCAGTGGTTAAGCCTCGGGATAGGCGGGATCGCAGATCTAGAAATCGGAAGTTCATGCAGCGACATCATATTTTTGAGTGTTTAGCTACTTGGAGAGACGCGGATGGTCTTGCCAAGTTAGTGTGTTGGAAAGCTCAGAGCAAGATAACGCGGGTCATGGGAGTGTTCATATTGAGGAGAAAGATAAGAAGATGAACTTTAATATTAAATAATGTCTCTGCAAGATTGCATATGGCGATTTGAAAAAGAGTGAGAATGAAAATTCTAGAATGAGAAAGATAAGAACTAGATCTTTGCTTCATGTTTCATATTTTATACTTTATTTTTATATTTTATTATTATGTTAATAAGTGTCACTTGTTTTCTATTGATTGGAGCATGATTAAATTGAAAAGTCAAATAATTTAACTTGTTTTGTTATTAACATGTTGATAAAAAAATAAAAAATAAAATAAAATAAAAAGAAAGATAATGCGGGATAGTAAAGGAGAATGGTTTCCCTGTTGCATACTTTTTTTAAAATTATTTATTTGTTTTATTTATTTTTTATAATAAACTAGGTTTGTTAACATAATAGTTAACATATATTTTTTTAACATTTTCTATTAGTTATCTCTCTAATTAATTTAATTTAATTTATTTATTTTTTTAATTGAGTAATTTAATTTCTTCATTTAGTTTAGTTACTTCCAATCAAGAAAAAAATACAAAAATATGTTATTTTATTATTAAGTTTAGATCTATTTGTAAATAATTCTCTTTTGTACATAATTTATTTAATTACTAATTAAAAAAGTTAAAAAGACATAAAAAAAACTTTTTTTTTCTTAATTAAAATAAAAAAAGTAAAAAAAAAAAAAAAATTCTCATCTCCAATCATATCGCAAACAACCTGTTTAGCCTTTAAATTCAGATTTTTCAAGAGGTTTTTGTAGAGTACTACAGATATTTTGGGTGCTAACATATTCCCTTTGTATAACCAACCTTCATACCCTTATCTCTTTATTTTTTTGGGTTTTGTTCGCTTTTTTCTCATTTACTTTAGAAACAATAAAGTGTGGTGGCGACTCTTGCTTATTTGCGAGTTAAGTTAATCAATAGTTTATTCTCTGATTTTTCACCGCTACAGAAATGGAAACTCTGCTAAGGAAGTCTCTAAGTGGGTTAAGCTTATCTTGTTTATCTGTGTTTAGTGTTATTATCTACTGTTTGCTTGTGTGCTTGGGTTTTTCTATTTTTTAGGGTTTGATGATCTATGTGAGGTGAGATAAGTCCTAACCCGAACTTGAGAGCACAATAAGATAGGATGGTGGTATGATCAATAGTTGCATGTTTGGAGCAGTCCTAAACATAAGCAACATATGATGTAACCCCCATTCAGTAGAGGCCTCATGGAAGGTAGTATTGTTGTTACGAGCAGTCGTAAGGACGCTATTACTTTCAATTTTGAGTACCCCGAGAAGATGAGGACCTTAGAATCTTTAACTCATCTTGGCCTTTTAGAATGTAGTGCGGAAACAGTTCAAGTGCAAACTTTAACTAGTTGTCATGCAATGCTACACTCAGACGAGTTTCTCTTGAAAATATTATTGGCCCACAAGCAGTTGTAAAAGCCGGTAATATTCAAAAGAGGATAATAGACTTTGGGAACTTTTAGAACCTTGTTCTACAGGTATGATGAAGCCCTAGTGTGATACGGTGGGAAGAACTGACTGTTTTTTGGAATGCTGGTTTGCGTTTTGCATTTTTTGTTTTTTGTTCGCAAAATGTCGCGTAAGCAAGAGTCGCCGTCGAATTTTATTTTATCCAACAAGGAAAGGAAAAAAGCACAGAAAAATTTCTTTTTCGAGATTTTTCTCGGGTTCGGGGGGTAGATTATAGAAAGGGAAGGTATTATCACCCTTTCTATCCGTGGTTATCCACAGGCTCTTAGGTAATTGCTCATTGTTTTCAAAATTGTTTTCTTTGTGCTTGTGGGTTTGAAAAAGTTTTTGTTTAAAACTTTGATTTAACTCTTGATTTTGTCCTCAAGAGTGTAATGAAGTGTTTTGAAAACTTTGTTCGAAAAAGTGTAAGTGTGAAAGAGTTTTTATTTTGTTTTTGAATGAGCAAGTATCTAAGAAATATCTACCTACTCGAAAAAGGAATCATTCTATGCTAATTTCCTTTAGACAATGTTATCCCACTATTAGTGAGTGGATAGCACCGTCGTTGGAGTTTGAGGGTCAATTCGAATGAGGGACATACAGTCACTAAAGCAATGTTAGGACGCCTTAGCGGTAACCCTAATGTCTTAGATCATTTGTTTGAGGCAACCATTTCGAGGCGACTATGATCTTTTAGACAAGAGGACGACCTCTAAAACGACCTATACTCAATGACCGTGTACGAAGGCAACCAAGTGGGGTGTACCCTAAGAGTGCGCATGTGCGAGTGTGTCGTTTTCAGTTATTTTTATCTTTGCACATGTTAAGGGTGATCTAATTTGATTTTAAGATGAAATATTCAGTCTTGTCATGCAAACCCTATTATCAAACATCTAGCAGTTATAATTTGCGGAATTAAAATACGGAAATTAAATTACAAGGCGTCGGGTATTTACATCGCCAAAAGCAACCCTTTGAAAATAAAATAAAGCGGTAAAATAAAAGTCCTAATTAATTATTACATACCGGAAGCAGATACATCAATATGGGTAAAAAAAAATAAAGCGCGCGGAAAATTAAATCGAATGCGAATTAGGGTTTTGACCCTTTTTAAAGAAAATGTTTTTTTGTTGTTTTTTATTTTAAGAAGAAATTAAATCCTAAATTAAATACTAAATTAATTATTAAATAAATTAAATGGAAAAAATAATTAATGACATGTTTTTGGAGTTTTTATTATTTTAAGAAAGAAAATAAAAATAATTAAATGAATTAAAACCTAATGATTTCTAATTAATTTTAAATATTTACAAAAATAACTTAAAGTTTCCTAGAATTAAAAACCTAATTAATTAGTTAGTGTTTATTAATAAAAATAAAATTATGAATTAAAAAGTATTTTTTGTGATTTTTCGATAAAAATGAAATTTGATTATTGGTTAGAAAATAAATTAAAATAAAATAAAGCAATTAAATCAATAAAAAGAAAATATGAGAAAGTAGAGAAATGGGCCTTTTTTGGAGGTGCTGAAAGCATTTTTGTAGGCCCAAATGAAGCTGATCCGCTTGACTTTTTGGGATCCAGTGTTCCTGCGTTGATGTGCCCTTTGGTGTGCCCCTGAAACTTGACCACCAGATCTGGCCATCTGGCCATCTAGCGCTTTGAGGAG